TCTTATTATTGTTTATTTTCCAAATCTTATAGATTTTATTTCTTGAGTTATACTCTAAAATAATACATTCATAAGAACAATCATCAAGCTTAATTTAAGACTTTTTGAAGATTTTGGCATAAATTTTATTGTCAAATACACAAAGATGTGAGATGCTTGGCTTTAGTAATCTCATGCATGGAAAAATATGGAGTTGTCTATACAATCCTAGAGACTTGCAAGTGCAATGTGATCTTCTTTTTTTTTTAAGTAGTAATGGCTACATAGTTTTTTACTAATTATCTTATTGCTACATTTGGAGCTGAAACCAATTTTGTCTAATTCAATCTTCTTTTAGAAATAAACATCTAAGAACTAATTGCAATCTATTTTTAAAATAAGACATCCATAAAAGGGTTGTTTATAAATTGAAACCAATTTCTTCTATCTTATTCTTTATTTGTATCTTTTATCTCTAAATGGTATAATAAGAGCCATCAAACTTTAGCCTTTCTTTAGTAGTAAGGTTGATAATAGCCATACTTGTGATAAAAGATATACTAGTGCTTAATTTTTGTGTAAAATATCTTTAACACAATCCTTCCTATTTTAAGTGTTATATTTTTATAATATTTTCAGAATTATTTTTAAAATTTCTCAAAATTCCTATTTTTCTAATACTATATTAGAATTACATAATAATAAGAATCTTGATTAAAATTATAAACCTTATATAAAGTATAGAAAGATATACTACTAATGAAACTTCAATCTAAAAAAAAGTTGCATCTCTTTAAAGCAATGTAACTATATTAGAAATGGTGACTTTATGAGAATATAAATTTTGTGCTATCATCTAAATTTAATTAATAGTAATTATTTTTAAATAAAAATAACAAATAAATAAGTAATTTATGGTTTTATTTATAAAAAAAATCAATAGGTCAATAAATCAATAAAAAATATAAAATAAAATAAATGTGATTATTAAATAATAAATAAATTGGCATCTTAAGATTTTATTTTAGCATAGAGAAGGATTTTAGAAATTTTTAGATAGACAAATATATAAATGTCCCAATTGATATGTAAATAGATTTTTTTCATTAAAATAGATGCTTGTAGATACCAAAAATTGTTGAATAGATATATATATTTTTTAAAATCCAGTATAATTTTTTCTTTATTATTCAGATATTTTATTATTAAGATTAGGCATGTAAAATTAGTAATAAAATCAAATTTTATACTTGAATATTTTAGTAATCGTATTTTTATTTTATAATTATAGAAGTAAATAATTCAAATATGTGTATAGTCACATACTAAAAATATTAAGATTTTAGAATTTATATTTGTATTTCATAAAAATATGCTTTAAGATTTTCAATAATTATTGTAATTAAAGTCTAATTAGATTTTCGGAATTTTTTTGTATTTGTTTTTAAGATTTCGAAATAGCTTCTAATTATAGTTTATTGATTTTTTTTGAAAAAAATCACTATTTTTTCTATATTTCAATTTATTTGATTTTTTCTTGAATAAATTTAATCTGTTAGCCTTATAAAAAAATTATGATTTTAGAATATCCTATAAATATTTATTTATATATATGTATAGTAATAAAAAAACATATCCAACTTCAATTTCTAGTTTTTGTAGAAATTTGTTTTGGCTTTGAAGTGTTAAGATATTCAATACAAATATATTCTATGATCTTCCTTCTCATTTCTATCCAACTTAAAGAAAAGAAGCTAGTTTCTAAAAATAAATAATTAAAACTTGCCTACTAAAAAAAATTGTGATATTTTCAAATTTAACTAATTAATTAATTAGTATACAAGCAATCAGATACAATATTTTTAAGTAAATTCATTCCAAATATCAACAAACTGATAATGTCCTCTCCAGTATCTTTTATTCTTCTACATGAACTTAATTGAAAATAGGACTTAGACTGCAAAATGGCACCAAATTTTATTTTCAGAATGTGCAATGAAGTTTTATATATTTTACACTTACAATAATATAAAATAATTTAAGAAAATAAAATGATCTATATTATTCCTTGTAGTACAGTGCATGGGGTCATCTCATTATTCCAATTTATATACAACAAAAGTTGTTCTAATTTAGATTGGATTATTGGATGATACTATTTCATACTGTTTTTTGTGTGATTTTTATGAATAAAGTGTTATGTATGGTAGGATTTTTAAATTTCTAATGAATACTTAACATATTGTATTAAAAAGAATGTATTAAAATATTTTGCATATGAAATGTGTAAGCTATGTGTGTGCCAACGTAGCACATGTTTTACAAATATTAACCTATAACGATATTAATGAAAAAATAGAAAATTAAAATCTCAAAAGCTTATTTGTAATATATTGATTTTTTTTATTTGTAGATATAATATTCGACTTCATGATATTAATGTAATACAATGCATTTGAATTGCACATCAGCAATTGTCCTTCACAATATGCACTATATAGTTAATGACATTGATGCAATTGATTAAAGTTTATTACAAATGTGTGTAATATTTAATGTCATATTTCGTTTTTATTTTGCACATGAAGAATACATATCTTAATTATGATATTGACAAAAACCAAGTAATAAAATTTAAATCCATGCAGAAAATGTGTTAAATTTTATAATGCATGTATGCATTCATACATAACTTGCATTATATAATACATTCTTAGTGCAAAATATTACAAATAATGCATGTAGTAATTTTAAGAACATCATCATTGAGAAATTTAATATACTATGAGATCTATTATATCCAAGCAAAGGATTCAAGAACAGTATCTATATATATATATATATATATATATACTGTACCATTCATTTTTAATGTAGTTTGTAGAGGATGAAGCAGTTCAGGTATAAAAACATCAGAAAGAAGAACATTATGGATGGTTGCAAGTACGAATCAATTTTGCAAAGTTTCACAACCATGTTTTGTTGAAAAAAAGCTTGCTTTTGTTTCCTGTACTAATTATCCTCCTTCAGTAATAGACAAGAATTTTCCTCTAATTAATGTTTTATCAACATATGTATTTATATACATTCTTCCAAATGCTGTTCTAAAAATGTTGAGATAATGTAACGTATAGAATGAGGGCATCAAAATCTACAGTATTGAATGCACCACTGGCACTGTTGTGTGTATTCAAACTTCACAGAACCAGTAATATGATCCAGGTTGATCTCCAATAGAGTATCATCAAAAAGAGTATCGTCAATCTCTAATTGAAGGACTACTGTTGAAGGAAGCGACAATTTTTCATCGAAGTGCCGAATTTTGTATAGTTTGGTGCAGTGACGATACTCTTTTTGATGATACTCTTTTTGATGATACTCTTTTTAATATCGCTTCCTTCAACAGTAGTCCTTCAATTAGAACTAGATTTAACTTCACCTTCCATATTCGTTTAGATGCCGCAAGGTAGCTAATTAATTGAGAAGTTCCCTAAAGTATTCTTTCCGCACATTCACCTCGAGTAGTTCCCACTTCTGATTACCATCATTACACCTGTGCAACTGTTACATGACACGCATGCCTGTGTTTGCATTTGCTGTCTTCACTTACGACTTGAGTTTGATTCAACCGCATGATTGGTTGCTAAGAAACTGGAATATATGGACAGTGATCAGTGACAGGCATAAATCACGTACCCACACTTCTCACGATCCATACATGAAAATATATCCTGCAGTGCTGAGACGTTCAGGTGATCAAGCCAGCTGAAATTTCTTCTTGTCAGATGTATGAAACGTTATTACATGTGCACAGAGCAAAAGCGACGATGGCATATCACCAACTGCTGAAGCAGTAGAGAGTACACAGAGAAGTCAAGCATCAAACTGGTATTCTCCCAGGTATTGTCGAGACCAGGGGTCGATGAGAATCGTTGGAATGCACATAACAAGAGTTATAACATTCCCAGTTCAATTGACAGAATACACAAACATTGTTCGGATGCTTTCCCCTATGGCAGTCATTCCTAACAATCATCACACAACCATCGAATAGCCTAAGCAGGTTACGAGCGGACTTAGGAGTCCATAAAGTACAAAACTCTTGGAAAGAATTTTTCATCTATGCAAACAAATATATGATTCATATCATTGACTGCTTCAAACAGATATGTGTTTCTCAAAAGCACCTTTTATGGTCACTCTCATTGCAATTACTGTCCGCATTACCTCTCAGCTCCACGATCCTGAGTTAGCTTGCACTTGACTACACGACGAGTCAGAACCTTTCTAAAGGTGGCATTAAAGACAGAACACGATTATTTCAACACTACTAAGAGACCTACTACCTGCGACCTACAATTTCTATCAAAAAAATAAAATAAAACTTCCCAAATGGTCTAAGTCCTGCCAGGTTTTGATAAAATCAGAAAGGAAATTCAATCAGAGAAAACCACATTATATGCAACCGTCACTTATGTTATAAAGGCAAAGCATGTGTCTATCGTAGCAGAATGTAGACGGTAAGAGCGTTCTGTAAAAATTTAAAATAAGAATTAAAAAGATTAATGTAGAGAAATAGGATTTGACGTTCAATCACATACCAAAAACCGAATTCGGCATTTATTACGATGATTGTCTTATTCTTCAACAACCACAAACCCTGGAAGCATAACCTTTTTGGATACAAATCATAAGAAAGAAATTTCAAAACCCACGAATTCGTAAGGAATTAAATCGTCGATACACCTCAGGAAGTGATGACTTCGCACAGAATAACTCAAGTTATTAAACAAGCCATAACATCAATACATACCCGAACAGTTGAAAGTGCACGGAACCTTCACAAACAAGCAGATATGCGCAAAATTTCACATACAATAAAACCTAAAAACTCATTCACATTAGCATAACCAATGCATCCACTGCATAGACGGCGTTAGGAATACGACCAAGGCATCGAAAAGCCATCTTACAGAACACATTCGACACACACATCAGCGCCTCACAGGAAATCACGCCTATACCAAACAAAACATGTTAATAGAATTCCATAACATTCAGATAACGTTTCCCGAGTACAAAAGATACACGAGGGCAGAAGAGTGAACCCACGAGCCTCCAGAACCACCCTCGAGCCTGCCTCCCACACCGAGTAAGCTACCCATTCCGACTCACCACCAAGCCAGAAAACCCTAATCAGCTTGTTTTCGCTTTCTTCTCCCAGTGCCGGTTCTATAACGCAAGCACAAAAGCGAGGAAGGAACACACATACCCAACCCTCCCTACAATTCTTGGACAGTGAGGCCGGGAGGCAGGGACTGCTTCAACTTGTCGGCCTTCTCGGTGTCGAAGACACAGAGAGTGTAGAGGTACTTCTTGCACCTGACTTTAAACTTGACGACATCCTTGGAGCGCTTGATTTTGACGCTCCGGGCGTCCTTGCGCCGGGCCGTGAGCAAGAAGTCCTTGATCTCGCTGATTTGCTTCCCCATGATCGCAAAATCGCTGATTGTCTGTCTACTTCGAAGAAGAGGAAGAGGGCGTGGTGATGGCGGCCCAGAGACCTCCGCAGCTGCAAAAGAAAGACTGAGGCCTGGCTGCCTGCTCCGCCTTAACGCTCTGTTCCCCCTGTTCCCATCTTTCGTGTTCCCTGTTCCCTTCGCTTTGTTCCTCTGTTCTCTGCGTTCTCTTCCCCACTCCCGCACGGATTTAGGGTTCCATTTCACGCTAAGTGTTGTGCTTAGTATTAAAAAGCTTGATGTGGGTGTGTTCGTTAATCAAAAAACTCAAAGATGGATAGTTTCGTTGATCGGCTTTCAGGGAGAATTAACGTGTCCGTTGGTACCTAAGTTCGAAAAGTGTGTCTCGTTATCATTAAAATAAATAAATATATAAAATTATAATGTTTGACTTTGGTTTTTTTCACTTCTTTTGTAGGCATTTTTAGTGATGAAACGGAATAAGACCTTTTGTTTTCCTGTTTATTGAGGTTGTAGTCAAATGTTTGATGAGTTTATTGGAAGTGATGTGTGATGTTTGTTTTTGTTTTCTATCATTAGACATGGTGCATTCAACTACAGTCTTTTGTAATGCTGTCATCCAATCCAAACCTTCCAAAATTGTTGGATGTTGATAGAAAAGAATAACAATTTACACATGATTAAATATAAAAAGATGATATTTATAAATAAACTAAAAGTCTAAAAAACAACATTCATTAATGAAGTATATAAAGTGATTTGTTATTATGAGCAATTGTTCTTCATGTTCCAACACACATACATTGAGATATAGTGTTTTATAAAATGCAAAAGAAAAATTTGCATCCATGCCTTCTGTAAATGTTAATATTCTGTAAACAAACACATAAATAATTTCGACTTATTCTATTATATTTAGAAGATTACAGAATAATTATTGTCGTTGGATAGGATGTTTTATTAGACATTTTCCGATTCTATGCCTAGATATTGTAAATATAATACATCTAAAACAAAGCAAAATATTTGTATATTTTGTTTGTTACTAATGTTAACATTACAAGAAAGATAACACATGTACAACAATAAATAAATAAAAACTAGGTTCAACTCACAAGTACTCAACCACATTTTTTAGTTGTGTGAGTAGACACACACATATGTATATATATATATATATATATATACAACAATAGTGATGTTATGTGTACTGATTAGAATAAGTGTGACATGTTTGTTAGCATAAATTACAAGAGAAAAAGTAAAAATGAACAAAATGATCCTCTTTAAAAGATTAACTATAATTTGTATTCAATTTATACACTTCACATACTAATATGTTCCAGGGTTGATATAAAATATTTTATAAATAAAAGTATAAACGAAAATTAAAAGATAATGTTGCATTCTAAATCATATATACTTAAATTTTTTTATAAATACATAATCTAATTTATTTATATTCAAATTAATGTATGTGTAAAAAATTAAAATTTGTAGAACAATTTATTATTATAATTACTATTATTTGATTAAACTAGTTATGTGTTGTGGATTATCAAAAAATTATATTTTTTGGATTAGTGTATATAATTTTTGTTTGTTTGTTTGTTTGTTTGTATTTTTTCTATTTAAATTTTACTCATAACTTAAATATAAAAGATGTTTGTGTTATTTATTGTATAATAAATTTAGTCACATGATTTATGAATTTTTTATTTAACTACAAAACCATACAATACTAAAGATCATCCTTAAGAAACAACATGCATTAAACAATGTTAAGTTAAGTATAAATTTTATATGTTTTATCTTTATTACACCAATATATGTGGAGCAAATAACTTAAAATTATTTAGACACACAAGAAAAAAGAAAATTCAATCTATTTAAATATCACATAATATAATTTCATAATTTAATTAAAAAATATGAAGGTAATAAACAATAAAATTAAAATTAAAATTTATACTTGAAATTATTTGATTGATTCTACTGATAATTTGGGTTTGATTCATTTATAGATTTAGTTAAAGATGAAAAAAAAAGATATTAAAGAAAAATAATTTGATTTAATTCCTATCTTTTGACACAAACTGACATTCTTTATCCTTTTTTATACAACTTTTTTAAGTCTAATGTTTTTATAGTAAAAAGTATAATAAATTATAAAATAAATAAATAAATAAAATACATAAAAATTTAATAGTATTATTCTATTCTAAATAATTATTTTTTTATTTACAATATATATTTGAAATAAATGCACAATGGTATAAATAAGAAATCTTTAAAAAAAATACAAATTCTAATCTATTCAAATAATATTCAAAGTTTATTAATATATATTTCATTGCCTAAATGTATTTTTGGATGTTTCTTTTTTTAACTAACCGTTTTAGTTTCAAGAGTTTTTATACAAATTTTTTAAAGGATTTGATTCAAACAATATTTATATCTGCAATTATTCTAAAAAATAAAGAAAAGTTATTTTTAGACAACAAACTTTAAAAGATCATTTTTATATGATTTTTTTAAAATTTCATCATTTTAGATTCTATATATATATATATATATAAGAAATTAAAAAATAGAATCTCAAATTTAAATAACAATATATATATATAAATATTTTATTTTATTTTTATAAATAATTATTTAAAAATAAAAAGCCACAAGATAGACATTTCTTTTTTATTATGTAGACACCTCTTATGCCACACACCCTTATATACATATAATAATACTCTTGTTTCTACTTAAATAAGTTAAGATACATGTATAATAAAATATTTTATAAATAAACTAAAAAATCTTTTAGAAGTGAAAGAAGAATTTAATTAAATATTTTTATGAAAATTTTAAAATTTATATAAATAAAAAATAATTAAAAAGAATAAAAAATAAAGAATATACTATAAGTTATTTAATACAAATCTTTTATTAAAAATTTATGACACAACTTATGTTGTATATATGTGGAGGTATATAGCACAAAAGATGTCTAAGAAATAAAAAATAATTATTTGTGTAGTAAAAAAGAAATATCTACCTAATAGTTTTTAAAATATCATATCTTTATTTTTAACAACTTTTATTTTTTTCTAAAGATTTAAAATAAGATAAATTATGTAATAGTCTATTTTTAATATATTTGATAATACAATCAATCAATTAAAATGTTTAAATATAAAACTATATAATTAGGTTTAAATTATTTCAATCTAATGATCTTTTATAAGAATCAAATTCAAATAGCTATAGATTTATAAAAGATATGAATCTCAAATAATTAAAGTTCAATATAATCTTATGTGACTTAAAATAAATAGATATTTACTCAAAGATAGTAATATATTAGAACTATAATGACTATTATGAAAGACAAGAAGACTAGAGACTCTTGAAATAAGACTAAGAATAAGAAAGGCATTAACAAGAGTGAAAAAAGCTTCACTTTTGCCTTTATAAATAATATCTAATTAAAACTTATGTAGCAATATTCTATAGGACCTCCAACATGTGTCCAACTTACAAGAAACATGTTTAACTTGCAACATAAGTTTTGTATATATATACTACATAGTTAATTTGTAGCACAAGTTGCCAACATTTGCAATATGTGGCCAATATTATAGAAAAGTTGTCAACTTATCAATCAATTACAAACACATATAAAATAAAAATTATATCTATAATATTTTTAAGAAGTTTTTTAAAAAGATATTACCAAATTAACTTACATTTACCTTCTATCTAATGCTTCTTGTTTATGTATTTATGTATGTATGTGATATTACCTCCCTTTTTAGAAATGAGTTCTACAAGAAGTAATAATCACATATTAAAAAAAAATCAAAGATTCAATAAATTATATTTGCTTCATACTATGATATTTTTTTCCTTCAAAATTAATTGATAGGTCCTCTTAGCCATTGATACTATCTTATATTAAGGCAAAAGGACCACTATATTATTTGATTATTATCTAGGCTTTTATAACTTCTTTCAATTAAAACATTTGAAACATCATTAGAAGTGATTTCTACCACCAATAATATTACTAAATATTGAGAATTTTTTCCAAGATCGTGATATCAAACATGTTATTTTTCACTATCTATTTGAAGAAAAATAAGTCATTTCTAAAGATCTTTATCTTTATTACATTGTCTTGAAGATTGTGACAATTTCAATGCAATGTTTAGTAACTCAAGAAATAATAGCTCTTAAGTTGAATTTTTTGATTATTGATTCTCTAGCTCTTTAGTGCCACAAATACACAAAAATTTCAAATAAAGATAGAAAATAGAATGCAATCTTTATTGAATCTTATTTCTTTTATAAAAATATTTTTTTGATTCTTCATCTTAATTTTAATGGATTTTATTGATAAGAAAAAATTTAAATTCTTTGCTGAATTTGTAAAATTTCTATATGACATTCATTTTCTTTTATTAATATCATATCTGCCCCAATATACAAGAAATTCTAATATATTTTAGCACTATCTTGAGTTTGAGACTTCTTTGACATCAAAGTAGATTTTAGCAAAAAAATTCTCAAGAAGTTGAGAATTAATATTCAAAAAGGACCACTTGTCAATTTAGGTCAAAATCAGACCCTAACACACAAAACCACACACTTACAATGACTCCAGAGCTTTTGGATAGATTGAAGTACTGAATTTGAAAGCAAACTTGAGAAGAGATTTTTGGCCTTTAGTTTTATGTCAATTGACTCAATATTGATTTTTTTAGGAATTTTCAAAGTTAGTAATGTTCTTAGTTGGTTTAGATTTTAAAAAATAAAAAAAGTATTTATAAATTTGAGAGTTTCTTGAATTCTATGGTATATGTGTGTAGGTGAATTTTGATCAATATGTTGATCTGCTAGTTGTAAATATTTACACAAATTTTAAAATCAATTAAATAGTTAATCAAGTGTATGAAGGTTTTTGTGGTTTAGGTCTCAAAAACTAGAGTTTGAAGGTCAACAAGTATTTCTAAGATCTTTACCAATTTGTCATTTGGATTGAAGTGAGTTTTTTTTGTATAGATATTAGACTCAATTTCCAACATTTTAGGTAAAATTTGGGAGCAATTCAAAAATGC